CAGCGTCTCCTTCGGTTGGAGAGGGAGGAGCGTGAGCAGTTTGAGAGGACACAGCAGCAGCTGCAGCAGCAGCAGCAGCAGCAGCAGGAGAGAGTAGAGGAGGAGTCACAGCCGCAGCAGGAGAGGGTCGAGGAGGAGTCACGGCCACACCAGGAGAGGGTAGAGCAGGAGTCCCGCCCGCAGCAGCAGGTGCAGTTACAGACACACCAGGAGAGAGTAGAGGAGCAGTCCCGGCCGCACCAGGAGAGGGTAGAGCAGGAGTCCCACCCGCAGCAGCAGGTACAGTTACAGACCCAGCAGGAGAGAGTAGCGGAGCAGTCACGGCCGCAGCAGGAGAGGGTAGCGCAGGAGTCCCACCCGCAGCAGCAGGTACAGTTACAGACCCAGCAGGAGAGAGTAGAGGAGGAGTCACAGCCGCAGCAGGAGAGGGTAGCGCAGGAGTCCCAGCTGCAGCAGCGGGTGCAGCTGCAGTCGCAGCAGGAGAGGGCAGAGGCGGAGCCACAGGTGCAGCAGCAGGGGCCGGTACCGTCGCAGCAGACGCCAGGGGAGGCGGAGCAGCAGTGACTGCGACTACGCGACCTCCCCGACCCAGCACCTGCACGCTTTGTTCGTGCTCCCCTACCGTCCCCTCCTGTTCCCCCTGTTGAGTCCCTTTCCTCGTCCCAGTGGACTCGTCGTTCTCCCCTCAGTCGTGCTGTGTCCCCAGAGCGTCGTCGGTCCCGTTACCGTGCAGACGGTCCGTTCCACCTTGTTCTTCGCTCTCGTGTTCCACCTCCACCTGTCCTTCCACAGCCCCCTGAGTCGTCCCTCACTGTGCTTCACGACCCGTTGTCCGACTACCTCCGTGCCTCCCGTCCTGTCGTCTCCCGTGTTTTGTCCGCGTTGGTCACTCACCCGACTGCACCCCTGTCGTCTGTCTCCGCTCTTGTTACCACTGTCGCTGGCTTTGCCTCTTCCCACCGCCTTGACTACGCCGCTCACGTGGTGAGTGGCCCTGCTCGTTCTCCGTTCTCCGGGGGTGCTTCTCTCTTTCCCTTGGAGGTCCTCGAGGACAGGCAGTTCGAGCTTGGTTTCCTTGCGGCCGCTGTTCCTCATCTCTGCGCCATGCTACTTGCCCCTGAGGGAGATCCAGACGCCCTTGACATCCCGATACCTCGCACTCACGCCGAGGCGGTCTCGGGACCCTGGGCTTCGTACTGGATAGCAGCTGAGGAGGCAGAGATGGCATCTTATAGGTCCACAGGCACTTACGTCGACGCAATCCCACCACCTGGGACGAACGTCGTCAGTGGCCGATGGCTCTACAAGGTGAAGCGGCCGCCTGGATCACCACCTGTGTTCAAGGCGCGCTATGTGACGAGAGGCTTCAGTCAGCGAGAGGGGGTGGACTTCTTCCAGACCTTCGCTCCCACCCCGAAGATGAGTACTCTTCGGGTGTTGCTGCATATTGTTGCACAGCGCGACTACGAGTTGCACTCCTTGGACTTTTCCACCGCGTTCCTTCAGGAGAGCCTGCACGAGCAGATCTGGCTGCGTCGCCCGCCTGGCTTCAATGGCTCTTTCCCACCTGGGACCCAGTGGCAGCTGCGTCGACCAGTCTACGGCCTGCGTCAGGCTCCACGTGAGTGGCACGACACACTTCGCTCGACCCTTGCAGCTCTTGACTTCTTTCCGTCGTCTGCTGACCCGTCACTGTTCGTTCGCCATGGCTCGACCCCGTTCTTTGTCCTGGTCTACGTCGACGACCTGGTGTTCGCCACTCCCGACCGACGCGCGCTGGCCTCCGTGAAGGAGGAACTGCAGAGGAGACACACTTGCACTGACCTTGGTGAGCTGCAGCACTACCTTGGCCTGCAGATCACCAGGGACAGGGCAGCTCGCACCATTACGCTGACTCAGTCGCATATGGTCGAGCAGATCCTCACGCTGTTTCGTTTCCCGTTCTCCAAGGTATTGCTCACCCCTCTTGGTGTGGATCATGGGCTCACGGCTCCACCTTCGGACGAGCCATTTGAGTCCAGCGGTCCATATCCTGAGCTGGTGGGTTGTCTCATGTACTTGATGACCTGCACTCGCCCAGACCTAGCTTACCGTCTTAGCGTCCTTGCGCGTTTTGTTGCGCCTGGGAGACACCGACCATCCCACTGGTACGCGGCTAAGAGGGTGGCGAAGTATGTGGTGAGTACATCAGGCATGGGACTTGTCCTTGGAGGGAAGCAGCTTGTTACACTCACAGGTTACTCAGACTCGTCGTGGGCCGACGACGCGGAGATGCGCCGGTCTACACAGGGGTACTCCTTTAGCCTCGGAGCAGGTGCTGTTTCGTGGCGGTCGACTCGGGCGTCGTCTGTCGCCGGTTCCAGCTGTGAGGCAGAGGTGTACGCTGCGACCATGGCCGCTCAGGAGCTTTGCTGGCTGTCTTTCCTTCTCACAGACCTTGGTGAGCGGCCTCGCTCTCCCCCAGTCTTGTTCGCCGACAACAGGTCTGCTGTCCTGTTGTGTGATGAGCCTCGACTGGTTGGGAAGGCGAAGCACATCCATCTTCGTTACTTCCTTCTGCGTGAGTTGCAGTAGCGTGGCCAGGCACGCGTGGTACGTGTGGTCTCTGAGGCCAACACTGCAGATATCTTCACCAAGGCGTTGCCGCCTTGTGACCACCAGCGTTTCTACACCCAGCTTGGCCTTGTGTCTACAGGCCCTCATTTGCTTGTGTAGAGATGCTTTGCTTTGTACTCTGGCATCTATTTATACTTGCTATATATATATGCATCTAGACTGGCCTTGTGGCCCTGTGCTTCTATATAGATGCTTGCATCTTCTATATTTGCTATATCATTGCATGTGGACTGGCATTGTGGCCCCTCGCTTGTTCTCGGACTGTGTGGTGATCTTGAGATCCACCCCGAGATTTGTTGTGTTTTTTGCGAACTGGTCCTTTGACCCTTGCTGTGTGTTGCTTTCCACAGGACTACCGTCACCTAGACTATGGGGGTGTGTCAAGCTATATTTGTTATAGCTTATTTGTGTTAGTCTAGGTGTACTTTATGTTTTCCTAGGGTTAGGGTTATGCTTGCTATATCTTGCTTGTTTTCACTTTCCTTCGTCAACACTTATACTTTTGTAACTTGACAGACTCAGCAACCCCAGGCGCAGCACCCCCAGACTTAGCACCCCCAGGCTCAGCACCCCCAGACCCAGCACCCCCAGGCTCCGCACGCTCAGGCTCAGCACCCCCAGACCCGGCACCCGCAGGCTCAGTACCCCTAGCAGCACCAGAGTCAACAGCTACCTCGACTGGCTCGACTGCGTCTACCTGGGACACACTTGAGGGGGCAGAACCCTGAGGGGGGAGGGGGTCTACCGGGGGGGGACCTGGCGCGAGGAAGAGCGGTGGGGGGGGGAGGGGGGCAGCGCGGTAGGGGAAGAGACGGTAGTACGGAACCGACTCGTCAAACGTGACGTCCTGGGAGGACAGAACACGGCGCGAGGTGGGGTGGAAAAACTGCCAACCAGGCGTGTCAGGGGGGAAGCCAAGGAAGACGCAGGGAACAGCACGGGAGGACAGCTTGTCCTCAGACAAGTCGCGGACAAAAGCTCGAGATCCCCAGACACGGAACGCAGACGCATCGCCAACCTTCCCCGTCCACCGCATAGTAGGGGAGGTCTCCGGCACTGAAGGTTGATCTGATGCGCCGCGTATTGAACCGCAAACGGCCACAGAAAATGGGGAGCAGCCGCATGGATCATGGACGTACGAGCGACGTCCATGACCATGCCAATGCGGCGCTCAGCAATCCCATTTTGCTGTGGAGAGGCCGTGAACGTCTGGCGGATGCCCTCCGCACGTTAGAAGGCTCGCAGAAGGTCGGAGGAAAACTCTCCACCCCTGTCGGAGTGCAGACGCAGAACAGGAAAGTCCGAGCCGAAACTCTCTCTGAGCTAGAGACGGGCAGCGCGGATCCAGTCGATCAACACCTCAGTGACCTCACCCTTGCGGCGCAAGGGGAAGACTGTGGTGTAACGCGAGTAGTCGTCAACCACCAGCAGGAAGTAACGCTCGTGACCCTGTCCACGGACGCTGGCCGGGCCCCACACGTCCATGTGGAGAGTCTGCAGCGGAGCCTCCGTCGGAGGAAACTCGGAGGAGTGAAGAGCGGCGCGCTGCTGCCCCTCGACGCAGGGAACGCAGGTTGGGGCAGGCCCCGGAGGAAGGGGAGGGAGGGACCGGGGGAGACCAGAGACAAGGACACGGGAGGCCATGCCTCGGAGACGAGGCAGGGAGGGGTGACCAAGGCGGTGGTGCCAGAGGAGAGTCTGGTGGGACAGGAGGCGACACGAGCAGGGGGCACACTCAGGACCAGACCGAGACGCTGCAGCAAACACCTGACCCGACGCAGCCACCTGACCAGACGCAGCAACCGGAGGAGACTCGGTAGTCAGCGTGTACAGGCTCGACCCCGGCTGACGGGTAAACGTGGCCAAGTGTCGGCCCGTCCGAGCACACGTGCAGTGGGTCACCCGCTGACTCGCAGGAGTGAACTGGTCAACCCCCCCATCCTGCAGGTCAGCACCACTCACCAAGTTCGTAGAGAACGAGGGGAGGTAAAGACCTGACAGGGAGCCAGACGGGGCCGACGGACACGGTAGGACAGTGGAGTAGTGAGCAAGGACAGGACCCCCAGAGGGGTCTGCTAGGGAGACTGCAACCGGCCGACTGAGCGGCGTGAGGGTGGTGCGGTCACGAAAGAAGGAGCGGGAAGCACCCGAGTCAAGGGTGAAGGTGTGCAAAACCTGAGCCGACGCGATACCTGAGAGAGCAGACTCACCAGCACCTGAAGCAGCAGACTCACTAGCACCTGGAGCAGCAGACTCACGAGCACCTAGAGCAGCAGCCTCAATGCCCGGGTCAGGCGGAACACAGAGGTAACAGTCACCCTCATCACTAATAGACACAACATACATGGCAGCAAGAATAGCACCATATTCAAGATCAAAGATAGCTACAACCGACTTGAGCTGATCACCCCAGCGAGGGATGTCCGTGGCGTCAGGGAACTGAAGACGCCAGGCGTCTGTCAGGCGGCCGAAGCAGCGCTGGGTGGCGTGCGGCCCGCCGCACGGCTCCCCAGTGCGGTCGCCGGTACGCAGGACGTAGGCACAGGGACCAGCACCCCCAGACCGCTGACGCGCGGCGTACCACTCACGAAGCTGCTGGGGCGGCGGGGTCTCACGAGAGCGCTGCTGCTGCTGACGTGGGCCACCACCGAAGCCTCCTCGCTGCACAGAGCCACCCCGACCAGCTCCACCGCCGCCGCCGCCACCGCCGCCACCGCCGCCGCCTCCACTCCCACCGCCACCGCCGCCGCCGCCTCCGCCTCCACCACTGCCACCGAAGCCCCCACCCCCGCCACCACTCCCACCGCCACCCCCACCCCCTCTGCCGCCTCCACCGCCACCACCGCCGCCCCCGCCAGCTCCTCCAGCGCCCTTGCCCCCTTTGCCCTTGCCGTTGCGGCGCCTCCCGCTAGGGGCAAACGCAGTGCCGACCGAATCGGTGCCAACGAGGTCGACAGCAGCAGCAGAGGCAACAGAGGGCAAAAGGGGGACGGGGGAGCACCCCTCAAAGAAAGGGGCACGAGGGTCACCACGAGAGGCTCCTACAGTGACTATGCTCTTCTCAGCTGCAAGGAGGCGCTCCTCGAGGAGGTCAACGGTGAGTGTGGTGGGGCAGAGAGAGAGGAAGTGGTCCCTGACCGAGCGAAGGGAGTCAGGGAGCCGGGTGACTAGGTAGTAGAGGGTGATGTACATGGGGGGGGGGTTCTTGGCGCAGAACTCAGCAGGAAGTGCAGCGCGGTAGCGGGTGTCACTAGTGCGGAGGTGCGTAATGAGGTCAGCGACTGTGGCAAAGGCGGCGAGGTCAGGGAACAGGTACGGCAGCATGAGGCGACTAAGGGCAGCAGTGGCAGGGGAGGAGTAGCGGGCAACTACAGCATCGTACAAGGTCTTAGCAGTCTTGTACTGACTAAAGTGCGCGCGCTCAGTGGACGGCAGGTGGCTACGCACAGCAAGGCGGGCAGCAGCATCGCGCGTGGTCCACTGCGAGCGAACAGTACTGTCAGCATCGGCTGCAGGGGCAGCAGAGGCGCCAGACGTTAGATCGAACAGTGAGATACCGTCCTTGCTATCGCACTGTAGGAAAAGCTGCAGATCATCGACCCAGACCTCAAAATCGACTGCTCGACCCTCAGCATCAAAGGTAAGCACATTGGGACTGGCCATGACAGCAGCAGCAGCAGGCTAGCAGCAGTAGCAGCAGTGCGACTCGGCTAAAGGGCACGGCTCAGAAGGGCGGCGCGGCTCGGCGGTGTTCTTACCAGTGGCGGGGGGTCAGGGTGGCCGCGACTGGAGGGGCAGGGCCGTGGTGCGCCAGCAGGGTCGGGGCCGCCACTGGGCGGCAGGGCAGGGCCGCGGCTCGGCTGCAGATCAGGGCCGGGGCAGCAGTGACGGCGGCGGCGGCGGCGGCTCGCGACACCGGCGGCAGCAGGCAGGGAGCCGCTGCAGGGCTCCCCGGTGGCGGTAGCGCGCGGCACCGGCGGCGGCAGGCAGGGACAGCAGCTGCTGCAGGGCTCCTCGGCGGCTGCTGCAGCTGGAGACCGCGACCGGCGAGAGGGGCGGGGCGGGGTCGCAGCGGCGCCCGGGGCCGAGGAGGGCCGCGCCGAAGGCAGGGCGGGCCGCGATAGGCGGCGGGGCAGGGCCGGGGCGAGGTCGCGACGGGGCTGCAAAGGGGGGGGGGGGCGCGCGGAGGGGCCGCGACGGGGCCGGGGCGAGTCCGCGAATGGGGCGGCGGCGGGGCCGCGAAGAGGCTGTTGCGGGGCCGCAAAGGGGCCGCGAAGGGGTCGCGAAGGGGCCGCGAAGGAGGGCCGTGGCGGGGCCGCAAAGGGGCCGCGAAGGGGTCGCGAAGGGGCCACGAAGGGGCCACGAAGGGGTCGCGAAGGGGGGCCACGAAGGGGCTGCGAAGGGCCGCGACGGGCAGCAGGAGTAGGGCAGGGCCGCAGCAGCGGCAGTAGGGCAGATCGCGAAACGCGCTTCGGGCAGGGCAGGAAAAAAAAAAAGTTCGAAGTGGTGGGCCCTAGGAAAAACGGTCCCACTAGGGAACCCGCTCTATACCATGTGAAGAAATTAGGAGTGGATGAACTAGGAATGTGTTGGGGTACAATTATGAAACCCTAGAAACCTATACCCCTTAGTGTCTACCCCGCTACAGCCTAAATAGGCTATATCATAAATGTCTGACACAAACGCCGCGCCCGCTGGGGCGTGCATCTCGGCATCCGCTTCGAGCACCACGCCTGAAAACATACTCGACCATGACACCTCGCGAGTACTCGCGGCCCGCGATGTCATCTTCTACGAAGATCTCACCATCCGCAAGTTCGAGAGCGACCGCCACGCTGACCGCACAAGGGGACAACACAACATCGCGGACTACGAGCGCTTACCGTGCAGCTTCGCTACCCCCGAAGACGAAGGAGAGGCAGCGCTCGCGGATCAAGATCCCACGGATCCCCACCCTGGCCCTCGCCCATGGAGCGACGAAGACGACGACAAGGATAGCGCTCCACTCGATTCCTCGCGCTATTCCCTCCTCAGCCCCACCCCTTCTAGCGGTCACAAATCTGACGACGATGTGGTGGAAGTCACCAGCGATCAGCGGCACAGCCCCGGCCTCTCATGAATTCACATCCTCGGCCTTCACACTGATGTCTCCCGCCCACCAAAGGCGGTTGAACCCAAAACCCCACGCCAAGCCCTCACAGGTCCCTATGCCAAAGAATGGCGCGCAGCTATGGACGCCGAAGTCGCTGCTCTCGACGCCCGCGAAACATGGGTCCTCGCTGACCGCGCCGCGCTGAAGGGGAGACGCGTCCTCTCTGGTAAATGGGACTTCCGCGTTAAATCTGCCGCTGACGGCACCATCGAACGCATTAAAGCCCGCTGGGTTGTGCGCGGCCTCGATCAATGTCACGGCGTTGACATTGATCCAACCTTCGCACCCGTCAGCCGCCACACCTCCGTCCGCATCCTTCTCGCCATCGCCGCTGAGAAGCATCTTCCCCTCCGTCAGGTCGATGTCAAAAATGCTTTCCTCTATGCGCCAGTTGATGCACTCATCTTCGTCGAGCAGCCTCACACCTACGACGACAACGACGACCGCGTATGTCAGCTCAAGCAATCGCTCTACGGCATCAAGCAGGCACCGCGCCTCTGGCAGCAGCATCTCCATCAAATCCTACTCGACATCGGCTTCATCCAGCTGCACCACGACCCCGGCATGTACCGACTTCACCACCGCGGAGACTACATCCTTCTTACGGCGTACGTGGATGATCTTCTCTACACCGGCACCAACAACGAGCTCCTCGCCAAGTTCGAGAAAAACCTCAGCAACCGCGTCGAAATCACCAGCACCGATCAGGCCACTCAATTCCTTGAACTCAACAACTCATATACCGCCGACGCAATTCACCTTTCCGCTGCCAAGTACGTGGAGACGCTCTCCACAAGTTCAACATCCAGCCTGCCAACATCTCCATCCCTTATCGCTCTCCGCACATCCCCGCCACTCCCAACACCACCCCACTCAACCCATCCGGCCATCAATTGTACCAGCAGCAACTCGGCTGTCTTCTCTTCGCCGCAGTTGTTACAAACTAAGGAAATGAGAATGACTGGAAAGAGAACAGTACAAGGTTTGTATATGCAAAACCTAACAGGGCTGTACCCCATAAGGAGTGCCCCACTACAGCCTAGAGTATAGTTCTGACACACCCCCATAGGCAAAGTGGGGGACAAGCAAGAGAACAAGGCAAGGTCAAGTTCAGGGTGGATCACGACGTCACCACACAGTCTGAGCACAAGCAAAGGCCACAAGGCCAGTTCACATGCAGAGTTATATATCAAGGTGAGCTGTACAGTGATCTCAACCTAACAAGTGTAAGCATGCAGGTGCAGGTATATATAGAACACAGTACAAGCAAAGTCAAGAGGTGAGCAAGTGAGGCCAGGTAGGCACCAGACCTAACAGAGTACAGAAACGCTGATGATCACAAGGCTGAAGTGCCTTGGTAAAGATATCAGCAGTGTTGGCCCGAGTGGCCACACTGCTGCAACTCTCGAGCAAGGAAGTAGCGTAGAGCGATGTGCTTTGTTCTGTGCTCCAGTCTGTGCTCCTGACACAAGGCAATCATGGTCTTGTTGTTGACGTACATAACTGGAGGAGAACGAGGCGGCTCTCCCAAGTCGGTCAGCAGGTAGGTGAGCCAGCGTAACTCCTGTGCAGCCATGGCCCCTGCGTAGATCTCAGCCTCACAACTGGAGCTGAGAACAGAAGACGAGCGGGTAGACCGCCACGAAACAGAGCCGGAACCAAGGCTGAAGGTGTAACCCAATGGCGACCGCTGCGTAGCCAAGTCGTCAACCCAAGAAGCGTCTGCGTGACCAGTGAGGACAACTCTAGCCCGACCTCCAAGCACAAGCCCCATGCCCAACGTACTGCACAGGTTGCGCAACACCCTCTTAGCTGCATCCATGTGCTCTGGTCGGTGTCTCCCAGGAGCAACATAGCGTGCTAGGATGCTAAGAGGGTATGCCAGGTCAGGTCGAGTGCAGGTCATCAGGTACATGAGGCAGCCCACAAGCTCTGGGTACGGGCCACTCGGCTCTACGGACTCGTCCGAAGGCAGAGCTGAGAGCGAGTGGCAAGTAAACAGAGGAGTGGCCTGAGGCGAGGAGTACGTGAAGTTGAAGCGCTGAAGGACCTGCTGCACCATGTGTGAATGAGTCAGGGTAATGGTGCACCGTGCTCTGCCCCGGGTGATCTGCAAGCCAAGATAGCTGCGCAGCTCACCCAGGTCTGTGCACGTGTGTCTCTTCTGCAGCTCCGACTTCACGTGGGCCAGTCCAGCAGTGTCAGCAGTAGCAAAGACCAAGTCGTCGACGTACACGAGGATGTAGAACGGCGGCAACGAAGTGTCTGTGCGTAGAAGCAGCGACGGTTCAGCAGTAGAAGGAGCAAACCCAAGGGCCGCAAGCGTAGTCCTCAGTGTGTCGTGCCACTCATGGGGCGCCTGGCGGAGACCGTAGACTGGCCGCCGGAGGCTCCACTGGGTACCAGGAGGAAACGACCCAGTGAAGCCAGGTGGGTGGCGCAGCCAGATCTCCTCGTGCAGGCTGCCCTGTAGGAAAGCAGTGCTGAAGTCAAGAGAGTGAAGCTCGTAGTCGCGCTGAGCGGCTATGTGCAGCAGCACCCGAAGAGTGGTCATCTTCGGGGTGGGAGAGAAGGTCTGGAAGTAGTCAAATCCCTGTCGCTGACTGAAGCCTCGAGCCACGTAACGCACCTTGAAGACAGGCGGAGAACCCGGCGGCCGCTTCACCCTGAAAAACCACATGCCACTAACGATGTTCGCCCCAGGGTCAGTGACAACAGTGGCCAGGAGACGCATGACAGTAGGACTAGCAGCACGAAGGGAGTCAGAATCCGGGTTCGGACCGACAGCAAGGGAGGACACAGGAGGAGACGGAAGAGGGACACGCTGCGGAGCAGTGGATGGACGAAGTGCCATCTGGTGCGTGTCGGGGTCAGGAGGAGGACGCTGACGCGGAATACGACGACCAGTGCGAGCAGCACGGACAGGCGACGCAGGACGAGACTCAGGCTCACGACGCTCCATAAGACCTCCGGTCGGACCAGTGTAAGGAGAAGGACAAGGCAGTGGGGAGGCAGGCGGTAACTGCGACAGCGACTGGACAGGCAGTGGACACTCTAAAGAAGGAGCAGAACCAGTAGAAGGCGGGAGACCAAGAACCTGCTGAAGGAGTGGAACGAAGTACGGCCGCGGCCGCGTAGCGCCTCCAGAACCAGCAGAGACGGCACCAGCACCCCCAGCGTCAGCTCCAACTCCTGCAGCACCACCAGCAGCTCCAGTAGCGCCAACTCCAGTACCTCCAGTAGCTCCAGCTCCAGCAGGACCACCAGAAGCCCCAGCAGCTCCAGTAGCGCCAGCTCCAGCACCTCCAGTAGCACCTGCTCCAGCAGCACCACCAGCAGTTTGAGCTCCAGCAGCACCACCAGGCCCAGCAGCTCCAGTACCTCCAGTACGAGCACCTCCGGGTCCAGCGGCTCCAGCACCTCCAGCAGCACCAGCACCAGCAGTACCTCCAGCAGCTCCAGCTCCGGCAGCACCTCCATCTCCTGCAGCTCCAGCTCTTCCAGCAGCTCCAGCACCAGTAGCACCGCC